AAATTCAGCTGCAGCCCTAATTGAAACATAGCTAATTACTGAAGGTCTGCCTTTACAGCCTGGTCCATTGTTCCTGGGCTAATGTTCTGTACGCCCAACAGTCAAACTCTCCCCTCCCTTAAAAAGAAAAAAAAAACAGAAGGAAAAAATCCCATCTACTATTCAAGCAGTCCAATGGGAAATTACAGATTCCTCTCTTTGAGCCCAAGGTAGCTACCAGCCAACAGCCCCCTCCCACAAGGACTCAATGACTTCAAAGGATGCTTGTAGAATAAGACTCCAAATTAAGGCCAGTGTTGGAGACGGGAGAATTCAAAGTGGCTGGAACAAACATTCAGCCCAGACCACAAGCAATTTATTGTGCATCCACCTTTTCAGTGGCAGCATTCCCTCTGAGCCCAGCGAATTCAAACACACCATACAATTTAGGTGTGATCAACAATCATAATATCCAGCTCCCAGCCACCGGCTGGCTGTGCTACAGCCAACGTGCTGCAGTCCAGACACGTGGATTAGCAGTTGGTCACAGCTAACCGGGTATAAAAGAGCACTCATCAGGACAGGCAGCCCCAGTTAATAGCTGAATGATAACAGAACCCCCAGGGTACCAAGGACATCCTTTCACAGGCCGTGCCACAGCTTTTGGCTTTGTAATTCAGCCAGACACAGAGGCAAGATTATCACCTCATAAAGCAGGGATGAAATCCCATCCGAACTTTATTGCCAGGATGATCCCAGCGTCAGAGCAAGCTCCCTTACAGAAGGTGACATTAACATGCATATAAAACGGCACAAAAGTTTATGACATCAAAAGTGCTGCAGTTTAGAAGCAAATCAGCTCTACAAGAATCCCTCCGTTATAGCTGCTGCACATTTCAACCCAGGAGATGGAAGGGATACCACAAAGAAAGTTAAAGCAGCTAAAAGCATAATTTACAAACTAGAACCCACAACCCAAAATCTCAGCATCTATAGTACAGAGCTCTTCAGAGCTGTGCTGACTTCAACCAGCTATAGATCTGACCCAAGGCATTTACCTGACACAACCACAATCTTTAGTACAGAAGCAGATTCTTTGCTAATCCTGTGCAAATTAAAAGCAGCAGGTCCTGCCTCGATAATGTAACCCTGCAGAAGTCAGTTTAGCAGCTGAGGAGCCATTTCAAAGAACACTGTGCTGGTTTTACGGGTCTTAGTCTGCCTGCCTGAAAGAGGAGAAGATCCTTTAATCCACAAGCAAGGACAGCACAACTGGCAGCAAAAGGAGCACCTGCTGCAGCACCTTGGCTCAGCCCCTGTGCCGCCAGGGAAGGGCTCACTCCTGTCCCTGGCTCCTCTGAAGAGGAACTGAGAGAAAGGCCCAAAGCAGCCCTGATAATTATGACTTGCACACCAGCATCCTGGGAACTGGGAGCATGCAGCACATTACTCCTAGGCTGTATTTTAAATGCAGGGACAAGCCAGTACAGAGGAAATTAACAGAGGTTAGGTTCTTTGCTCACAAGACAGAAAGAATATATCAGTTGTTCACATACCTGATCAAATAGGGCTTTCCAGTGCTGAGAGGCAGCATAAGGGAGGAAAAAGAATAAAAAGAAGGTATAAGAGCAAGGACATTAACATGCAGTAAACTGTAGAAGTATATTCTAACAGAGAAATAACCAAATGATTTAATGCCATTTCCAACATCCTTCTTCATCCCAGAATCACCTACCCTTCCGGAGGAGGAGGCAGGGGAATCTACCAAACACAGGGAGAACAGTTTTCACTTACAAATCCAAATTAGGATGAACTCAAACCATTCACGTGTTAATTCTGTTTTCTCCCACTTTGTCTATTTGCAGGCAAGCAAGGAAAAAAGGGGTTTTATTCACAGAGATCAAGAAAGCTCTTTACGTAGTGAGGGAAGGGATGAATTAGCAATGTTTTTCCAGATCACTTTCTGAGATACTGTGGCCCAACACTGACCCATCAATTGCTTTGCTGGGTTGTCAGTGCCCCATCCACTGCCTGCTCCTGACTCTGGTTTTCTGCAGGCTTTTTGATAATCCATCAGTTCTCTGAACTGCACATGACCACATCTGAAAAATAGGTAATTCCTCTTGTGCACGTTGGGAGGGTGGAAGGCTGGAGAGAGCCCATTGAAAGAATTTACCCCACATCTTCTGTTCTATCAGATCTGCCTTAAAAATGCTGTAGAGGAGGAAGCTCCACTTCAATGTTCACAACCATATGAATGCTCCACAAGTCCTTGTCACTTAGAAAAAATAAGCTGGAAACTGGCTCTGCTTTATGCTTTGTAGAGAGACTGATGTCAGCTCACCTCCCTGACCCAGACTTGCTGCCTCACTGTCCCATGAAACAGAGGAAATTCCTAATGAATTGTTTAAAGCTCTCATCTATCCTGGATTTAGGGGCCTGTTGAGAAGACAGCTACTTCCATGGGGCAGCACTAGGGTAACCAGTGGCTTAGGATCCCCAGAAACATTTGCACATTTCTAGCTCCATTGTCTGAAGTGCTGTTCAGCTCAACATCTTTTTTCTGCCTCATTCACCTTCCCAGAAAAAAACCCAATAGAGTAAAACAACAAATACCAGATTCTTAGAAGCAAATCTCAGAGTGCTATTTAGCAAAGCAGAAATCTGCTGACAGCCTTATCTAGTCCTGGAAAAACATTTCCTTTCACATGGTAGACAAATCTAAAGCAGAATTGACTGGATAGACATTGGGGTATCAGGCCACTAAATTCCTTTTCATTAGTTAAGTTGCTGGCTGCCCTCCTCCCTGTGTCTCTCTCCATTTATAAGCTCCCATTTATCATCATAAATCAACCCAGCACTTTAAACAGAACACTTTGGGACTGCCTGAATCCTGGCTTTATGGAATGTTGCTCTGAGACCTACAATGACATCATAGCTGAACTGTTACACACTGTCAAGGCTGTGACAGCCAAACCTCCACTGTGTTATATTTTTGTGGTTAATATCAAATAAAGAACTGACCTTGTGTCAGTTCTTGCTGGCCAAGCCAAAGAGTTTCCATCAGGCTTTCAGATGTAATAGCTACAACACAAAATCAAGCCTCAGTTAGGTCTCAGGGGGCACAGAGTACCACAGGGCAGTTGAAATTTTCAGAGATGATGCTCTGTAGCCTGCTTGTTTCAGCAGGAAATCATGGTGGAGTAGAAGGAGGGCATTTACACCACTTCCTGCTTTTCTGACTTGCAGATGATACCTGATACCTCAGGCTTCTGTCACATCATCTACTGCCAGCTCTCAGCAGCTTCCCATAACCAGTGCAGCTGCAGGCTTTAGTTTTGTTGATTATAGAAAACAGGGTACCAGAGTCAAATAACAATGCAAGCAGTGGTGAGACACTGCAAGCTGGATCTGACCCAAGCTGTCCTACCTCAAGGTCAAACAGCAAGGCAGCAACGGAACTGGGATGAGAATCTAGACTTCATCAGGGACAGCTCCTATCCCAGGAGCCCAATCCTGCCAGGCATTCAGCATTTCAACATCTCCTGGGCCCCCTGGCAGAATTGAATTTCTAATGGCTGCATTTGCCTAGAGGCTGGAGCAACTCCAAGGGGCCCACGTGTATCACAACAGGAAATCTTTCTTGTAGGACCATCCAGACAAGCACAAAATTTGTCAGAGAAGAAAAGGTCACAGTCTGATGTAAGCAAGCACTGGGATTTTTGTGAAAGCTCTTGCAAAGTCACCCTTTCCAAGTCAAAGCTACACACACCCGAGTCAGGCATCTCCTCTTAGGACTGTCTGGCAGTGCTGTAGCAGAGGTCAAACTGCATCACAAGCTCCCTCCTGACTGCACTGTGCTCAGGAATACAGACTGGGGAATGCAGCTCTAGCAAGCAACTGCACTTCCTCTGCTACCCTCTGGGAGGAAAATCCAACAGCAAATGAATTGTACGTGATTCAGAAGGAAGGGCTGGGGAGTGAAGAGCAGGCTCTGTCCCTAAGCATGCCTGGGCAGCTTCCTCCAGCAGCATCAAAAAGGTAGAGGGCCGAGGGGATGCGCCATTGCTGGAGGTTCAGCACCCAGGTGTCCCGAGCCAGAGCCCGTTTCAGAAACACACAGAGTATCTCTGCCTTATGTCTGACGGGCTGAAACAGACCCTGCACTTACGATGCAGACTGAGGAGACACTTTGCAGTCCTCATCCCAGCCGAGTTTGCTGGGCAGGAGAGCTGTGAGCAGTCCTGGGATGCACCAGAAATGCAGGATCCCTCAAGTTCATTCCCTCCCAGACAGGTGCAGGGCGAGCTCCTGCCTCCGGGTCCGGAGGATGCAGAACAATTGCCTCAGCTCTGCAGGCACTGCCGCTCAGCACGGCAGGAGCGGATCTGGAGTGCGCAGGACCCCTTCGCGTCCTCCTGGGCTGGGTGAGCACAGAGCCGGTGCCAAGTTATCCCACCCTCACGTGCCATCAGAGCTCGGAGGGTGGAGAGAAGCCACCAGCCCTGTCGAGCCGAGGAGAAAACTTACTCGACTGTTTGTTCCTCGGGGGCTGGAAGAGGGAGCAGCTCCCGAGAGCGGGAGCGTTTCACATCTGTCACCCTCCGGGTGGCTGTGACTCTGGAGAAGCTCTCTGTCCCCTGGCAGCGCCTCGGGCCAAGGCGTTAGCCCCTCTCCCGGCTCCAGAGTCTCGTCCGTGCGCAGTCCGCTGCCACTGCCTGGCCAGCCGCCACCCGCCGGCATCTCCCCGCCGGACGCGGGCACCCAGCGAACCGGGAACCTGTCAGGGCCGCCGGGGCTTGGAGGGACGGAGCCAGCCCGGCGGCTGCCGGAGCCCGCAGACACCCAGCGGCGGGACGCGCGTAGGGCGGCGGGAGGGCGGCGGGGACGGCGGCTTTCCCTGGTCCCGCAGGGTCACCGGCCCCGCTCCTGTGCCCATCCCGGGCTTCAGCTATGAATAGCTTGAGCCGATTATCCCGGCCGGGGAAGAGGGAGGAAGATACCGAGGAAAGGAAACTTACATCCTCTGCAGCCATAGGTAGGACATCCTCGGAGTCCAGCACCTCGATTTCTTCCGCCTCCGAGCTGGCAGCGACAGCAGGGGAAGAGCTGGCGTGAGGCTCCGGCAGCCTGTCTCCCATGCTTGGAAACGGTCCCCCTCCAGCCCCCGCCCCCCTTCTCCCCAGATCCTTAAAGAAATTAAACCTAGCTGCTGGTTGGCAAACTTTCAAGCGCAGCCGAGAGAGGAGGAAATCCTCCATCCACGGAACATCCAATTAGCGCGGGCAGCGCCGGCGGGCGGCATCCCGGCGGCCGAGCTCCGGCCGGGGCAGTGACCCCTCCCCGCCTCCCGCCCCTGCGGCCGGGCGGTGCCCCCGGCCCGGGCACGGCCGGCGCCTCCCCCGAGCCATCGCCCGGGGACGGGGGTCCGCCCTTCCCGGCGCGGGGAAGCCCCAGGGGCTCTCGGAGGCAGAGCCCGGAGCTGCGGCACGTCCGAGGATGCGGGCTGGGCGGCAGCGAGGGGAGCAGTGCCCGATAGCCCCTGCCCACGGCCGGCACCGCCTCCCACGGGGCGACCCGCGGAGGCTCGGCCGTGGCCGGCACCGGGCAGCCCGGCCAGTTCCAGCCCTGCCCTCCAGCCCGCGGACAGGTGACCAGACGTGCCGGCTCATCGGGGCTCTCTGCAGGAGACTTCTCTGTCCCAGAGTCTCGCCGTGAGGGGCTGGTGCGGGCTTTTACATCTTTTACCATCATTATTTGTTTCTGTATGTCAGGATGGGCAACTTAACCATCTGGAGCCTGGATTAGGAACTTGAGGAATGCCTTGACTGCCGGCAAAAATCCAGCAGTTTTAGCTTCTTCCAATCAAGTACAGAAATAGCAGGTTGGCAAGGGGGAAGGGCAAGCAGAGCCAGGCTGATCCACATGGTGCCAGTGCCTCTTGCTTCCTGCTAAAAGCCAGGCAGAGCACAGTCAGAGCAGAGTCCAGCACCACAGGCCATGTTTTCGTGATTGAAAGGTCCAGTATCAGATCAGACACACCTCAGCCACAAGCTGGAAGTCCCTTTTTTCTCTACAATCTGTTTAAAAATCAACCAACCACAAAAACAAAAAGTAAAACAAATCCAGCTAGAATACCTCTGGAAAAGGAGCAGGATATTCCATTCTGCAGTAGCAGAGCATACAGCAGAGAAATAAAAACTTGGACCTGAACAGAACTTTTCTAGCTCAGGATTCAGGTAGGAAAATGACAACAAAATAAAAGCTCTTCTGAGTCTTCAGTGCAACTGATGAACAGGAGGGCTTCTGTCCCCTTAATGACATCAGTGAAACAGAGCAGACCTTCTGCACATTTAAAGGCAATTCCTTGAGCCATTTCTTGCTGGTCTAGAGTCTGTCCAGCCTGCTCTCCTGAAGGAGATACCAAATCCAGCACTTCTGAGAAGCACTAACCCACTTCACTCATACAACACCACTCCTGCCAAAATATTCCAGGCACTAAACAGCGATTATACAAACAATCTCTTTTTGATTGAAAAACTAAACCTCATCAAAACTTCAAAACAGATGGATAAGCAAAAATATGCTATGCCAACAGAAAGAAACAGCAGTCATTTAAAGATGTCTGTAGGGAGGAGGGAAGCGAGTTTTTAGAGTAAAGAGAGAATAAATGAGCTGAATTTCAGGGGTAACAGGTTCCACTCAGTTGGGGACTGTATCATCTCTGATTCCAGATGCTAGTGGGAAAATGCCAACTGTGAAATCTAACAGGAATGCAATGAACAACAGGAAGAACCCCCAAAACTCTTTACCTTAACACCAAACTCCCACTAAATTGGGAAATTGCTGCAAAATTACAAGTTCATTTTTCTCCTCTAAGGACTGTTTTTCACTAGCGGTAATGATATTTTTTTTTTCCAGGAAAATATCTGCACATTGCACATATGAGCTAGTGCTGTGCTATAATTGCCACAGAAAGGAAATTAGCAGTATTCTAATGAGGAGTTTTGTTACAGACATATTATCATCTTGCAAGTGTGTGAGTCTCTTAATTTAGAATGTCATTTCTCCCCACTGCATACCCTGGTGAGTCTACCTCGGAAGACAGTAATTGCTAAATAAATGGGGGGGTTGTGGGCCACCCCAGAGCAGATGCAGACAAAAGGAAGGGCTTCAGAAGAAATGCAGACAGAAAGGATTTGAGATAATAAACCTCAATGCATTTTCACACTCAGTCATATAGGCAACTTTTATATTCCAAATACTGCAAACAAAATGTAGATGTACATCCTCCCTGCATTGGAAGTGGCTCAAAAGGTCAGCTCATGAATATGCAATAAACCCCCCTCAAAGTAGGGACCCAGCCAACATCTGTTAGCTAAGCCCTCTGGATCAAATCTAAACAGTTTTTTCACCAGACCTTTCTCCACCCAAAGTAGCCCCAAAGGGCTTTTTAAAATCTTCATAATTCTGACAATTAGAACTATGTGGAGAAACCTACCCAGCTTGATTTCCATACCAGAGTTCAGCCAGCTGGCCAGACTTGGGAGGCAACTTCTGAAGGAAAATGCAGCATTTTGGATCAAAACCCCAAAATGCTGCATACAAACACAACCTTAGGAGGAAATTAGATAGCACATACACAGCTGGGACTGGATGAGGCCTGTCAAATTAACCCCTTCAGACTCATGAAAACAGCTAAAAGCCTCTAAGGACCACAGATGGTTTGAGACAGTGGCTTAAACTCAAGCCCAAAAGGTAACAGTGGTAAAAGACTCTTTGAGCATCATATTCCTTGTGCTGGGACAACACAAATTTACCTTCCAGAACCAATATAAATGAGACCATATGTGCTACTATTTGGCTTTTCCCTTGACTCATGGTACTCTCCCTCCTGAAGTGAAGGAATAGTGGGAAAAAATAAAGTCCAGCCTCTCCTGTGATTTCTAACTTATATTGAAAGACCATTCTCCTGACCCTCCCTATTCCATGTTGTATTTAGAACTTTCCAAGTCCAGCACAGAAAAAGCACCCTAGTCTTTCTACCTGCAGCACTCTTCTGCCACAGTAACTGTTACTGGTAGCAGCTGGTGTGAATTGTGTCTTTGGTTATAGTTAGGGAAATAATTAAATCTGCTATCAACTGACAACTTTTTGGGGCAGTTGTCTTAAAAGGGGAGCTCTCCTATCAGGTCAGCCTTGTGGTATTTTAAGATGTCTCTGCTTGTTTTTACTCTTCACCTGCTGGGATCAAAGCACAGGTTCATTTCTAAGCAAAAGAATTGCTTGAAATGGAGACCAATTAGTAACTCAAGGTTAATTTCCAACATAAAATCATGTCTTGCTTACTATTAATCCTGAACTGATGAGCTTTCAGACAAGAGGTCAGAGCTGAGGGGTGAAGGATGTGTCTCCAAAGAAGATGAATGAAGATCTTTGTCCTCTCAGTGACTTTACACCATGGTCAGGCAATTCATGCATCAGACTGAGCAGGAAGAAATTGAGTCTGGTTGTGGAAAATACAATGAAAGAAGTTGTTAGAAAACTGACAGCACTAGAAGAAAGAAAACAAATCACTGTTGAGAGTAAGTGGACTGGAGTACTGCTCCTTCTTCCCCGCACTTAATTGCAGTAGCTAACGTTTGGACATTCTTCATTATATACTCCATGAGAAGAATTTCCCCTCACGGTAACTGTAATCCTCAGGATCCAGGCGGGCTTGGCCAGTGGCACCGGGGCTGCCTCAGAGAGCACCGACGACCCGCTTGGATGAGGCCACAGCACACCGGGATACCAAGACTTGTACGCTCTCCCCTAAGAAAATCCCTGACCCCAAACCACTGTGGGAGGCCTGTTTTATATAAGGCGGCGGGGATGCGCTCTGTCCCTCACCTGCGCTGGCCGCCTCGGGCCGTGAGGGCGGGCGGGCAGCGCCTCAGGGCAGGGCGGGGGCGCTTCCCTTAGGGAGGCGGCAGAACCGCTCCCGCCGGTCCCGGGCTGAACGGGGCCGTTCCACACGGGAACAGCCGCTCCTGCCGGTCCCGGGCTGAACGGGGCCGTTCCGTGCAGGATCTCCCGCCGGTCCCGGGCTGACAGGACCGTTCCATGCAGGATTTCCCGGTCCCCACGGACGGGGCCGTTGCATGCAGGATTTCCCGGTCCCCACGGACGGGGCCGTT